GAATCTAAAACACTCAACAGGCCAATACTCGTTGGAACTACCCATTTGGATCTACATATCCCGGACTTTTGAAATGTGATTTTGGGTCTTGATATGCAAAAAAAATAGCCCATATCGAATCCCCTTTTAGCTGAAAGAATGATCTGAACAGAAACTGATCAGATCTGCAGTCAAACTGGGAGTTCTCAGGAAGCTTCTTCTCAGCGTCATCGCGTGAATAACACCTCTGTCACCAACCAATAGATCTGGCTTCATTTGCTCCTGTTCTGCTGTTCACTCGCCAGGCGTAGGTGATGTTGGACTGCGGTAGTGGTTCAAGAAGGTGAGTGTGGGTGATGGCTCCCCGATTGATTGCAACCAAGGACTTTGATGTGGAAGGGAGTCGGAGATGGTGAGATCAAAAGAAAGGAACCGACGATTGTAGAAGGAGAAGGAGAAAGAAGATGGTTGCCGGTGGCCTTTTGGGTTGGTGTTGGATTGGGTTTGGCTTTAATGGGCTCATTATTGAGATTTGGGTTGAGTTTGTAAATTTGTCTTGATGAACTTCATCGCTCCAACTTTCCATTTCTTCAACTGAGTCCTTCTCTCATCTTCTTTTCCGATCCTCTTCATAAATTCCCATTTTTGCTCACGAACCTAACAAGGAAAACAAAAATAAAAAAAAAAAATTAAAAATAAAAATTTCATTAAAAATTTGAGTTATGACACATATAAGGCTACATAGACATTTCACATAAAATTATGTCAATTTTTTTGGCCAATAGTCGACTTTTTAAATTAAGAATCAACTCTTAACAAAGAAAGTCAACTATATCAAGCACCCATAACATTCTCAATTCTTTGGAATTTGAGAGTCGAATGTTGACCTTATATACTCAACTCTTAAAGGCTTAAAAATCAAATTTAGATTTTTAGAGTCGACTCTTTACTATTCAACAATCGACTTTTTACATAGAGAGTTGACAATGCCATGCACTAGGATGTTCACAACTCTCTGGAATTTGGGAGTCAAATGTTGAGCTTATATAGTTGACTCTCGAAGGCTCAAAAGTCGAATCTATCATCATAGATTCGACTCTTTACTGCTCAAGAGTTGACTTTTTACATAGAGAGTCAACTATACCTTGCACCAGGATATTCTCAACTCTCTAGAATTTGGAAGTTGAATTTTGATCATTTATAGTCAACTCAAATGTATCACTTCTTAAATTGTTACGAAATCTATCTTCTTCTTCTTTTACTAATGACATGGAAAAAAATACGTTAAATTGTAATGAGTTGTCATTTTTTACTCTAATTAATCATATTTTCATCCTATCCTACCTATTATTATCTTTTTCATATGGTAGGCCCTACATCAATATTTATAATTTTATTATTTTTATATAAGAATTACTTTGTCTTTCCTCTTAAGAGAGAAAGTATTAATAGGTTTACATAATTAAAATTTGTAACTTATAATTAAAGGTTTTAATTGAGTATTAATTAAAGGAAATTGAATTGGAAACTACTTTTCCTCCTCCGATGCCACTGTTCATCTTCTCCAACTCCAACCTTCCACTTCCAATTCAATTTATGTGCAAAATCCTTAAGATTCTTTCATTAATTTTAGAACCCATATAATGAAATGACTTAATCATAAACTAAGTTAAATAAGCCAAAAAAATAAAAATAAAAATAGAAAGAAGATTGAACAAAGAAACAAACAAAGGAATCAATTTGTATTTAATAAAAAAAATTAAAATAAAAAGAAGAAGATTGAAAAAGAAACAAACAAACGAAATTAGGATGGCCAAAAAAAAAGAAAAAGAAAGAAAGAACCCAACCAATTTGTATGAAAACAAAACAAAATAAAACAACCCAAAAGACTTCATAAGAACCCAGATCAATTGAAGCTGCAAAAATATGGGTTTATGGGTTTGCTTTCCAACTTAAAATAAACATGAGTTTGGCTAGAAAGAATTTAGGAATAAAGTAAACAAAAAACAAAATAACCCTAGGTTCTCCCATTGAGAACCTATAGCTTGGGTTCTCACCAGTACCCAGCTTGGCTTCCACCAGATTTCGTTCTCCCAATGAGAACCTATGTGGGTATGTCCAAGTTCTCACTAGTACTGAGCCAAGGTTTGGCCGTCATCATCCCCCCCATCGTCATCCTTACCTTCAGAGCAGTACTAGGGAAAGGTAATATTAGCAACATATTCCTTGTTGACTTTTGGTTGCTAAAAACATTGGAATAACAGTAACATGGTTTTGTTGGTAATGTCTAATATCAGCAATATGGTATATGCTGCTAGTGCTTCCAATGATTGGAAAATTACAGCGACATGTCCCTTATTACTAAAATTCACTTTTAGCAACATATTTCTTGTCGTTGAAATTCACTTTTAGCAACATATTCCTTGTCACTGAAATTCACTTTTAGCAACATGTTCCTTGTTGCTGAAAGTGGAACTCACTTTTAGGTGAGAATATGCATTATATGGTGATTGAAAAATTACAGCAACATACCCCTTGTTGCTGAAAGTGGAACTCACTTTTAGGTGAGAATATGCACTATATGGTGAACAAAAAATTACAAAAACATACCCCTTGTTGCTAAAAGTGGAGCTCACTTTTAGGTGGAAATTTGTACTGTATAGCTTTAGGTGAGAATATGCACTATATGGTGATCGAAAAATTACAGCAACATACCCCTTATTGCTGAAAGTGGAGCTCACTTTTAGGTGGAAATATGTATTGTATAGCTTTTAACAACATAGTTCTTGTGGGTGAAAATTTATATCACCGACAAAGATACCCATGTTGCTCATAAAGAGTTGCTAAAAGTGGGAATTTTAGTAGTGTTATATAAAAGGAAGAAAGAAACAATTGAGAGATAGGGAGAAATGTCATCAACTGTATTTACATATAAAGTCTAAGATTGGGAGATGCATTGCTTACTTGAAGCAGAAAAGAGAAGAAGATCCAAACAAGAATATTGTACCTCAGCTAATGCACCAGGCCACACATGGTTCCAACTTTCAAGCTCCTTCTTGTGACCTTTAATCAATCTTGTTATTGAGTGGTGTTGAATCCCCTGGGAGTAACTTAACAAGTATTTGTATAACTTGACACCGATTAAAACTTTAATATGCATCATTTTTTTGTTTGTAATACGCATAATTTCTTCTAGAAATTATATGATACAGTTATAAAAATAATTATATTTAAACTCTGAAAAAAGGTCATTAGTAAATTTCAGTCTTTTTGGTCTAGCTATAGCCTTTCTATATTTGAGTTTGTAAAAGTATTAAATCAAAAATTTATGACACTGCATGTCATCTCAAATCTAAGGTAACTTATGGCAATTGAGGACTAAACTACTTTTAGGCATCGCTAAGATTCGATCCGAGGTTGTTTAGAGTGACTTGAGATAGTTTTTCATAAATTATAAATAACAATTTGAAGGATTTTTTCAA